CGGACGGAACGACACCGGTAAACGACGTTGGATGGCTGACTGTAATGGAATCTTTGTAGGGTGCCAGTCCTCAAAAGCCATCTAAGCTTCATCAACCGAGAGTGTGGCCATGATGCAGTAGTCCGGGGGACTTATCTTGCTGCTCCATGGGTCTTTGACTTTCGAATATATTTAGTGGCATGGTGAATAATCTAGTCACAGAGAATCTACAAATTGATTAACTTTAAAACGAGGTTCCTCGAAAGGAGGCTTCATTTCAAAGAACGTCATTGCGATATCGACACACTGCCTTATGTAACGGCTGGGAGTTCTAACCCGGGCATGCCCACTTCAGGTATGACCACAATATCCTGTCGCAGCCGAGTCCCAAAACTCTCAGTCTCTGCTCGAAGCATCTACCACTTCACACTCGAGTAGGACAATTTCATTTGCTATGGGTTCTCAACAATTTTGTGCAAGTGCCACACCGGGGGAAAATAGGGGATAAGATATCGCAGCTGGGTCAAAGGACATATGATACATCGAAGAGTTGGATAAAATAATTGGACATCACTAGCTGTGGACGAGTGTATGTCGCCCTACGCCCATCGCCGTGGAACATAAGATCCAACAGGAGCAAAGGAGTGATGATAAACCTGGAAAAACAAGTTGCAATCAGCACAGACTCTTTGACATGCATCCAAGTGCTCCGGATGCTTACCAGTCAGAATAACGAGCATAGTAGCTTTCGCGATTGCTGCCAGCCACACTAGTCGTGCTTCTGTTATACTCAACGTTGATGGGAGTTCATCCTTGATATGATCCCATAGCATAGAAGGCCTGCATGGCAGTCAGGTTGATGGCCGCTGCAATGCAATAGAAGATCCGATGCTTCTGGGGCTTCATGTGGCCGGCTACGATGACACCGAGACCAACCATGTCCATAACCGATACGATTGCATAGTAAACGTCCGAGCCATGACTGGTGATCGCGATAGCAGCACTCTTGCCGTTTTGGGTTGGATTAGAGGAAACAGCGTTATTCCGCTTGAAGAACGGATGAGATGTTCAGAAGCCATGGTGTAGGATCAAGTGAAGCCTTGCTAGGTCGATAAGTACCTGGAACAGAAGGCTTTCAGAAGAGAGACACTGGCAACTGCTAGCAAACAGCGGTACGAGGATATATACATGCTTGGCTGACATGACACCATGAACACTACGCCATTCCATGACAGGAGGTTTAGTTTTGCACAAGCTAAGTTGAAATATGGTTGCGTCATCTCGCTTGGGAAACGGCGTGTGATTCTTGGAAAGCTTGATCAGAATGTTAACAATGAGCTCATCAAGAGCCGGTGGAGTCCGAAAGCCGCTCAGGGGTCACGGACTTCAGATACGGAAGGCTGACAGCTTGATAAAAGCCGGGAAGCCAGAGACGCCTGGGAGTCAAGTACCGGAAGGCAAGCAGAATGAAACCCAGACCACTCTCATTTGAAACCAATAGTGGCCAGGATTCGGTCGATTACGCTTTGATCATCTGCTGATACCGTTGTTCTCAGATTGGCCCATTCCTTGTCCGCCTGACCATTCGGTACCGAGGAGTTTGGTTTTCTCGACCAGGGTAAATGCTCGCCGCGTGTCACTTTTCTTTTCAACGTTGACTACAGCGTGATGGGCACCTTAGGTACTTGAAGATGGCTCGATTCAGCAATCATCGCTCCGTCGAAAGAGAGGGGGAGCCGGAGAGACGGGCTCTCGTGGTGTGGTGAGGAACACTTGGCCAAGGCAAAAAGTCCATTACATCAGCAAGCCTTGAAGCCGTACCTTACAAATGAATTGATCCGTGTTTCGGAGGCACCGAGGATGTCTAGAACGGACCTTTAAATGGCCTAGACTGCCGATCTTCTCCTGACTGGAGCTCCAAGAATCGTTCAAATGTTCAACAGCCAGCCCTGATGCATATCTCATCTCTTGACAGTCGAGGCAGTGACAGCGTCCACCGAAGATAGGTCGGGCGAGGCAGGCTCTGCATGCATGATAGTTAATTACCTCAACAGGGTTGGTCACGACATGCGGCAGGCAGTAACACGTACAGTATTAATCAAAGGCCTCATAGGGGTCTCTATAAAGGATTCCACTAACGTAACCAGCACTTGCTGGCCTCTAGCACTCCGTGCTACTCCGACCTTAACAAACACGGATTCAGGGACAGGCTAATCCTTACTCGCTAGCATTAGATGACAAAAGGAAAGTGGTAATATAGGAGACAGGTCACTAATGATCACACGGAAGGGACAAAGAAAGGCTGGCTTGGATAGCCCAAGGCGCAAACGTCGATGTGCTTATATCGACTTTGGTGCTCTTCGAGGCTCAGCCGATTAGGATTCTGGTGTCCGTTGAGTATAGAAGATAGGTGAAGAAGAATCACGAGTGTCTGCGCCATCAATGGATTGCGAGAAACAACCACCCCCGGGCATCAAGTCGCCCATAAGTCATTGTGTGCAATTCAAATCTGCCAAGACGGGCCGAGAAGCGGTGCTGCAGCAAAGCAGTTCCTCAGCTTCGTGGTTAGGAGATTGCCACGAGATTCCCCAGACTGCGTTTGCCTTTTCTGGAGTTTGGCTTGCCAAGCAGCTAGAGTGCTTGTCGGCGCAAAAGGCAAACTCGACCTGTGACGATCCCTTGCATAGCTCTAGACCACAGCACCTGACCTGAGTCCGCTTATACCTTGGTTGTAGCAACATAGGTCAACGAACATCTTGAGATGAGTAAAGCTGTGTGATATAATGATAGAGGAGGCTAATGCGGCCGGGCAGTGATCCAAAAGTTGCAGAAAAGATGCCAACCTTGATTTAGCTTGGCGTAGTGCATCAATTTTCATTTAAAGACAATTTAAAGTCCAAATCTTGTGCTGAGGTTTGATTTAGCTATGCAAAGCACTTAAATATGACTATCAGTATCTGACCGCAGGTTTTTATTTGTTTTCCGGCGACGTTGCTGAAAAAAGTTGGGTTTGGTATGCTTTGGTCGCTGTGAAGCCTCTGATGCTGGTGGGATCTTAGCAGGTCCTTTTGAAAGAAATGCAGGCAGTCCTGCGGACGTCAGCGTGCTAGGATGATCTATCCCGAGCTTGCTCCTCCGCAGTTCCACCAACTTCTCCGTCAACTGTAGTGCCTCTGCCATCGCTAGGCCTCGCTGGACCAAACCGCCAGATCGAGCATCGATCGAAACGTGTCAGGATGATCCGCCCCCAAGCGTGCTCTTCCGCAGTGCCACGACCTCCTCTGTCAGAGGTAGAGCATCTTTGATTGACCCATTCTCGGCTAGAATCAGAGCCAAGACCGGCCATTGTTGGATTTTGTCCCCTTTGCTCAACTCATCTAGCTCATCCCTTGAGTTGCAGAAGCTCGTGCACATGCGACACCAATGACCGCCGAACCGTGTAGTCTTCACTCGCAAACCTCCATTCCATAGAGCTGGCCAATAGCGTTAGCGCTGATTGATAGCTGAGCGGTTGCTCCTCATCCTCGGGCGTGCGGTCGCAACACCATTCCCGCACTCGAATTGTCCCTGTCGCGGGTCGTGTCGCCGCTTACCTCGGATGTCCAATTCCATGCCATTGTCCATTCCGCGGCCGGCGACATCGATATACTTGCAGCTTAGCCGCTTCTGCTAATTCTTTATTGTGCTCTCCTTTTGATGCGGAAATCCTTCGCGCGCCATTCGAGGCAAGCGTTGATCGTCTCCGCCTCGCAGGCCTTGAGGCAATCGATGGGCTCGCATTCGACTCTGCCACAGAAGCTACAGCAGACAGCCAAGTTAGGATTAGTCACAGAGCGGGGACGAACTGGCGAGGGGAGAAGGGGGGCATGTTAGACGTATTGCGGCCAGTGGTCGAATTCTCGGTCCCCAAGCGACTGAGATCATGGCTTCCGCCGCGACCGAGCTCGACCTTTTTTTTTTTTTTTTTTTTGGAATCCGATCCTCTCTAGAAGGTAGTTGTCCTCTGGACTGGAACGCCTGTCACTCTCGGAAAGTGAATCGACTTCGGAAGCCGAATCTGTGGCGGCACCATCATTGAACAACGATTCCATATCTCCATATCCGTAGAGCTTTCTGACCCGCCCCAGACTGCGCTAGGGTCCCATCCAGGCTCCATCGTTGGGGTATTAGAGTAGGAATGAGGGTCGCAGCATCTGGTGGTAGCCAGATAGACGGGGCTATTAGACTGTCGCCGTCACCGGAGGCACCAACCCGTCTATCCCCTTTATTCGATGAATTAAGTTTGAGGCGGGGCAGTTGGCTTCGAGCTGCGTAGGAAGAGTAGGAAGAGAAGGAAGGGCAGGGACGGTCTAACAGACCTCTCAAGAGGCAGGAGTGTGACAAATGGCGAACCCATGCTGCCCTGCCGTGGATTGCTCATTCCTGGCCGACGTAGCCATCTATATACAGAAGGCAGATGGCACCCATGAAAGCGGAGAGGGAAGGGATGTTGCTGAGGAGAACAGAAACCAGCAGAACTTCAAAAGGCGTGCTGGGATGTGGGCGGAAGTCGGCCAAGCAGATCTGAACCAGGGTTGGTTTTAGAGGTATGTGGCTGGAGCGTCAAGCCACAAGTGGAGAGAGCTCGCAAAGCGCCACTATCACGCCCCGTCACTGTTTGCGGCCTGTCATGCTCATGTCTACTCGAACACCCTACCCGGAAACCTTTCCCGCCAGGACCTGGTGAGAGCGGTTGAGTGGATTAGAGCTTGCTATCAGGATTGTGCTGCTGGTCAACCACTGGTCATTTAGCAAGCCGCGTGATCTTCCTTAGCATGACGGCGTGGATCAACCAAGTTTCCCTGCCATAACTCGAATCCCCGGCTTGCTGCGCGACATTGGCGAGGAAGGAGTTTTTACCGACATACACGTGCCGCCAGTCATACGTTCCTAACGCAAAAGCTCACATGAGCGCTTCCTTCCCCTCTTGATAAGACGATCTTCGTTCAAAATGCTTGTCCTTTCCTCTCAACTGACACATCCTCTCATGTGGCTTTCCTTCCGTTTCTACCTGGTGCGGACTATTCAATGGATACAAGACACTCCTCAATGCTCTCTCCAGCACTTGAATTGCGACCTAATCTACCCTTATGGCAACCTATGCCGAGAGTATCGCTAGTGCGTCACATGGCCACGGTAGTCCCGACCAGTGTCATCGGCGGAACTCCCCTCCCAGACAGCCATCCTCGAGGAAAGCTTCCATTGCGAAAGCGCGTGCCTCACATGCTTGTGATCGCTGTCGGGTAATGCGAACAAAATGTTCCGGGGGCAATCGTTGCACCAAATGCCTTAAAGACAACGCACTTTGTGTGTACGGTGACCGGAAAAGGGAGCGCAATAAGAAGTTCTGAACTCGAGGCTCATTCATCGACATACCTGCTGATATGCAGCAGGGTCCTAGCCGAGAGCCTAGACCGCATCGGCTCGTTGGAGAGTGAGAACAGCGAGTTACTGACTGCTCTTCGTGCAATAACAGAGCGGCCTGATTTTCAACCGAAAGAACACATTGATATAGTGGACATCTTGGCCAAGGTACCTACTTGTACATCACCCTTCTGCGAGATATAGGGTTCCTAACAAGCACGAAGTACTCAAAACAAGAAGAGCATGATCCAGGACACGACTCAAGCAGCCAATCACAGACTAAGACCACCCCTTCTACCACTCCACAAACATCAACCGCTCATGGCCCGGCACGGGCGAGCGAGACCACGGGCGAAAACCGAGCCAGGTCGAGCGTGGGCTCTCCTGGCAAACAAGGCGAGCTACTTCGCATTGTCTCCCTGGACAACGGAGGAGGGGCCTCGGGCTTTGTTGGCAAGATGTCAGAGATTTCTTGGATCCAACGTGCATTCGAGACTGTCCGTGGATATCGGATCGACAATCTTGGTGACATCTATGCGGCAGAGATGGATCAAAATATAGCCACAACCACAGACTTCATCTATTTCACGGACGATACAAACATTCTGGCCATCAATGAGGACTACGTTGATCAGTTTCATTGGCCTGCCAAAGACACCGTGGTGCTCCTGTCTGAAGCTTTCTTTCACGCCATGCAGGGCGCGTATCATTTCGTCCTCCGAGAGCAGTTCCTACAACAAGCATACCAGTTTTCGGCCCAGGAAAAACCATTTCCATGGAGCCAAAGGCACTGGCTAGCACTAGCAAACCTCGTGTGGGCCATTGGGTCCAAATGGCTGCAGTTGACGAAGTTGCACGAGCCACAATCCGATGACAATCACCTCATATATTATGCGAGAGCGCGCGCTCTAGGCCTCGACCACAGGGTGATGTTCGATCATCCTGACATCGAGCGCGTTCAAGACATCGGCCTGCTGTCTTTCTATCTCCTCATCAACGGGTCTATCTCGCGGTCTGTCACACCTTCTTGAGAATTGCCTTTACTAACCCGTTTAAACAGCGCTTGGAATACTTTGGGTCACGCTACTCGCCATGCTACGGCACTTGGGCTCCACCTAAGAGTCACGGATACCAATGTCAGTGAACTGGAAAGGGCACGCCGTGCTCGAACGTGGTACTCTCTTTATAGCCTGGAGATATTGATTGCCGAAATTACAGGACGTCCAAAATCCATTTTCTTGACTGACGTGACCATCCCGATCGACCTGTTCTGGTCAGTCCCTCGGGAAACCCTGGCATTTTCCGAACAAGTCGACCACTTCTTGTCTCCTGCTGGCTCCAGGAAAATCTGGCTCGAATATTTACATTCTGGCTCCGGGATATCCCATATGACCGGCGGCATGGTGCCTTGGAAAAGCCTTTCGTCCGTTGGACGCGACGTGCCCATCTCTTACTTGCCCCAGCGACTGTACCTATGTCGTTTGAGCGATAAGGTCGCGTCGCATTTGTACAGTGGCACCTCCGAAGACTCGTGGTCTGAGATACAACAGAAACTAGGCAATCTGCAAGACGAGCTGAGACAGTGGGCTGGCAATCTACCCCAAGAGCTGGCCATCCAAGGCCAAGAGTCCGCCGGGACTGATCCGAGGGCGAAGATCGAACTGGGTATATACTATTACAGTGTCGAAATGATTCTCAATCGCGTCTGTCTTTGCGAAATCACTATACCAGATGAATCTGCCGGGTCGCAGGAGTTCAACCGCAGTTCGGCGCGGACGTGTGTTCACGCGGCTATGTCCATGCTAGCCATGCTGCCAGATCATCCGACCGCGCATGAAGCCTACCAGCTTCTCCCTTGGTGGGAGCTTCTTCATTTCGTGGCACAAGCGACAGCGGTGTTACTGCTTGAACTCGCCCTTGACGCACAGCACTTCCGTAACGAGGTAGCGCAGATAGTCACTTCTCTGCGCAAAGCGATGGGCTATCTCTGGTGTATGACCGAGATGTCTCTATCAGCGTATAGAGCATGGAGGATCTTTCGCCAACTGCTGACCGAAGTTATGGGTCGGCATGACGATCTGGATCTAACGGATATTCCGACCGAGGCAGCACCGCCGCCGGGGTGGAATGATGCGCTTGAGGCGGTGACGACGAGGGCCTTCCCAGGCTCCTGTAAGAAGGTTCTCATTCCCTGTACGACCGTAATGATGGCATGATCCACCCCGAACTAGAGGGAATTTGACAGAAATGTGAAGGATAGAAGTTCCCTCACCTTCCACATGGCTGTCGCGTGGCTGTCGTAATCGGCGGCGAGGTTCAACTTGACATGATGGTCGCCGGTGCTTACTATACGGACGGATTCCGACGCGGCCGTCCCAATTTGCGGCATCTGTGGAGCCGACCAATATCGAAAAAGCGGCCAAAAGAAACGGATGGTGACAGCGAATGGATTCACAGCGAGCGACAATGACAATGTTGAGGAAAGCCTAACAGAAAGAACAAACATTGGCATGTCGCGACATGTGATGGCATGTGAAGAAAGGCGTTTCGGTGGACAAGCTGCATATGGCATTATCTTTAAGCTGATATCTTGTCCTTCGAACGCGCTGAGCTCGGTGATTCTTGTCCCCTCGATTATCGCGATTCCGGCAAAGGCTTCTGGATGATATTCGCCTTTAACGCTAACCTGTATTTGTAGGCTTGACGTTGCGTGACCCAAGGTATTCCAAGCACTGGTTCAAACAGTTAGCAAAGAGAGATTCTCACCAAATGACGACAGACCGCAAGATTGACCCGTTGATGCGGAGGTAAAAACCACCAGGCCGATGCCTTGAACGCGCTCGATGCCAGGATGATCGAACATCACCCTGTGGTCGAGGCCTAGAGAGCACACGCTCGCATCCTGCTACTGTGGAGCGGAACATTTTGCCAGGTAAACGCAGTCGACCAAACCCATCGCTTGGAAGAATCGTTATTACTGTAAGTCAAAGTCCCGGGTAGCCAGTTCGTGAGAATAAACGGAGACTCAACCACATATTCACTTTCAGACTCGATTTTGAATGTAGTCGAGATCACTTATACACCTCGGATTGGAAGGCAGGCCGGAATTATATCGTCCTGGACGACATGCTTGGCGCCAGATTGCCTCTCATGGGTGATGTCATGCTTCATCTCCTTATACGATACAAGGAGCACGAAGGATAAAAGGCACTATCATGTGGTGAAATGGCATCCCCATGCTGTGAGGAGCCAATAAGCGTCGAAAATGGGTTGAACTCTGCGGGCCAGTGTCGGAGTAGCCACTTAGAGGCAGACTTCCATCTTTTATCAGCGGATGTAATGCCACCTGAGTGTTATGTGCTTTCCCAATAAAATGCAAGCGCATGCAGCATCCGTGAGATTGTGGTCTTCCCGAGTGATTGTTGGCAGCAAATCTGTAAGGATCAACCGTGAGTGGAAGTAAAGGAGACGGCGTAACTGACCTTGCCACAACGGTTGGGCTGGTCCTTAGCTTACTTGCCCTCTGACTGGGTCTTCAACACTACAGCCTTCTCGCCTCTCTCACATCGGAGCTTAACCTATCTCAGATGACGACTTAGCTACTCTTGATATATCCCTCTCCGAACCATCCCCTTTCCACCATCCCTTGCTCACCTTCACTCTAATCAATTTTACTTATTTCTACCATTCCCGGTATCGATTGATTCATCCAACTTCAAAGCACCTTGCTCTCCAATGGCCACAAGGCACCTGGCAGTCATGCCGGAGTACCGACCCCTACAACATCCTCCAATGGCAGAACATTTGGGGTCCAGCGGAAAAACTAACTCTGATTCCAAGAAAACGCACATCACAGAGACAACAATGACCATATACAACTGGTACGAGCACGTCAATGGGCTTAATTTCACGCTTATTGTTTTCGTTCGTGTCTATAGCTGCGTCCAAGCATTCTGGGTTCCTCTTCAGCTCAAAAGTGCGATCTGGGCTGTCATCTACTACTTCGCCACTGGTTTAGGTATCACGGCTGGTTACCACAGACTACGGGCACATTCATCACACCTAGATAGTCCGTAGTTGAAATATTAACCGTAGCTTTAATACAATAACTCTTAGTAATAAATCTATTAGTTCTCTTACTTCTTTACTTATATTTAGTCGCCTCACTAAGAGCTATCTAGATCTAAATTACATCAAAATCTAATAAGTTTTAAAAATGTGAAAACACAAAATAAGTTTTGTCACAACCTATCACTACAGTCCGGGGTACTTTCTTGTTAGCCGTAAGGGGACTAGTATAGGTGTGAGCGAGATGAACTCCGCCCTATCTACCATCAGCTCGACTTGATGCGCTCGCACGTCGAGAGCGATAGAGTGTGCATATAACCAGCACGACATGAAGGAGCGCGACGAGAAGGTTAAATTGATGCAATATGTTTTTTATCGCGCCGTCAACGTTCAAGCCTGGCTTGGGCATTCTTCACAAACGATCGAACCGTTAATTGATACCATCAACGATGACACTGCGCTTCAATCACTCTTCATCAAAACAAAATCCGACCCTCACCTAGATATCTGTGTGCATGAATAAATGCATTCGTGAGCCTGAAGTATTGGACGCGGATGTGGGTGATTCAGGAATTGGCATTGGCGCGCAGTGCGGTCTTTGTCTTCGGAGCCAAGACTTTCACAATGATAAGAGTGAATAAGCTGTACGAGGCTGTTAGAATGGGGACAGAGAACTTCAATGATTCGGGCCGGAGTCGCGCTCTCAGGACTTTCAGCCTTATAATGCGGGCGGAAACACAGTTTCCCGCGGTTACAATGGGCGCCCGCGGATGGAAAGCCGAGCGTTTAGTCGATATGCTGGCTTCTACACGTTACCTGGAATGCTATGATGCTCGAGATTGTATTTATGGGATGATTGGGATTATGATGGTTATGTTTGGCCCTGACTTCATTGACGCTGATTATGAATGCAGCTTGAGTGATGTTTACACCCGCTTTGCGAGCAGATTGATCGAGAAGACAGGGACGTTAACCATACTGAATCAAGCAGAGGCCATTTGTCCTTCAGCGGGAGGGCTGCCGACATGGGTCCCGGATTGGACGTCCCGATTTCGTCACTACGATGCCCTTAATCGATTATACCACCTGTTTGACTTCCAGGCAGCGGGGTCATTCTCAAGCAAGCCCGGAACGCTGGCCCCTACGTCCATGTTGTCGCCGTCACGCTCGAGTCTTCTGAAATGCAGGGGTCACTTCTTTGGCACGGCTCAAGTCGCCGGTGCGTATTGTGGGTCATATCAATCGCCCAATATGCGAAAAGGGCATGAGGCCGTGATTCGAGGCTGAGGAGAGAGCTACTCGGGCTCGACCCAGGCATTCGTGAGGACCATCACTTTCTCGGTAGGGGAGAGAGCTTCGGACTTGGTGGAATGTTACGACGCGGGATACGAGGCGGACACAGACGAAGGGGACAGAATTCGGAGAGGATGCATAATTGCTACAGGTGACAGACGATTCTTCGTGACCAACAACAACGCGCCTGGCCTGGGGCGCTAAAGATACGCGACCAGGGGATTGCCTTACCGTCCTGGCTGGAGGAAAGATGGCCTATATTTTGCGCCCCAGTTCAAAGTCAGGTGCTCTCCCAAACACATATTCTCTCGTTGGCGAATGCTTCGTCGACGGCGTCATGCATGGCGAGTTATTCAAGGGGATGACTCAACCCACCTTTTCGGATGTCTATATCGAATGATTGAGAAGCCTCGGAAGTAAGGACATTGCAACCACTCCATATTGAGGTCTCGGCGGGACGCAAAGGACGATCAAGCATGCCGAGAAAGGAAATGCAGCAGTGGAGCAGAGTTGATCGGAGATTCATCACGACAGTGCCTACCGGTTAACAAGACTTTCTACACCAACGAAGATAGCAATCGAACGGCCTCCAAATTACCGCGCAGCCGGCGACCGGCGAGCAGCAGCTGCAGGATGCAAAAGATCTCGCCGACAAGCAAAGGATGTTATTGGCATCTCTCGACCACGCCGTTCCTGCAGCAACCGACTAGAAAAAGATCTTGGACCTTGGAGCGTGGGTTAAATGAGCTCTGCTGTTCACGGGATATCAAACTCCACCGAAGCTCCATATCTCGTGCGTGTCTTGCTTTTCGCTCGCTTGTGGCGACGTGCCCAAACAACCCAAGCTCCATAACTGGCTAGAGACGAAGACCTGCCCTGGTCACAAAATACCGCGACGACGCCAAAGTGAACCTCCGACTTCTTCAGCATGGATTCTTTCTTTTTACCTCAATGTCTCCCTGCGAACGAAGGGAACGAACAGACGGTGGTCCTGAACGAAAGACCCCCCAGAGTCGACACGGAAGATTCACGCCAAGCACCGCTCCTCTCCTCTCACTGTTCTGTTGACCGCTCATGGCTCCTTCTTGACCTTCTTCGGAGTAGGCGCCCCGGCTTCCTTCCCCTTCTTTTTGTCTTCCGCACCCTCAGCGCCCGGCGCGGTCTCCTGCTTCTTCCTCCCTCTCTTCTTCGGCACCTTCGGCGGTTCGGCGGGGGTGTTCGCCAGCTTGTCCTGTGCCGCCTCCAGCATGCTGGCGACTCTGCCCATCACGGCCCAATGGAAGCGCGGGTTGCAGGTTATGATCTGCTGGAAGGTTGGGTCGGTGTGGTGCGAGAGGAAGTGCCGGCTTGTGGTTTCGGCCAGGGTCTTCCACAATTCCGGGTCTCGTTGTTCAGAGATGGCGAATCTTGCTGGTGGAGGATTGGTGTTGGTGGCGCCAATGTCTTGGTCAGTAGGGACGCTACCCTTGTTGCCATCCATAGAACTGGCGACTGGAGAATTGGTGACAAAGAAATGGGCCAAACACGGCAGCAATGCTTCCTTCACCGAGGTGAGGATTTCGGTGATCTCGCATACGGCCTTCTCGCGCAGTTCCGTGATCCCGTACTTGTGAGCGATGAGGTACATCTTCGCGTGCAGTGATATAGGAGAAAGATCCATGCAATCAACATCCTCCTCAGCACTGTCAGGTCCCGCTTCGGGTTCGGACACCTCTCGGTCGGAGTGATTGGATGGAGAGACCTTGCCATGCTTGAGAAGACTGTGTATGTCGAACCCAGCGATGTCGGACATATTCTCATCGTCGTATTCCTCGGTGTACCACCAGAGGATCAAGTGGGCAATAGTGACCGGTTCGTCATCCTCAAGATGTACTTTGCGTCGCTTACCATTCTGTTCCTATAGAGAGGCCCCGGTTAGTTCATGTCGGGGCTGTTAAAGTCCTAAAGGATTGGAGGCCTACCTCAGGCGCATCACTGCAGAGTTCCCCGAAGTCCCCGTGACCGCTGATGACATGACCATGGACTGCCCATCGATAATCCTTGACAATGATATCGAAATCGGGCTGACGTTCCTTCTTGAGGGAAGAGGCAAAGCTGATCCTTGTTAGGTCGCTGGACAATGGGTAACAAGCGATCAGGTACATACGTTCTGAGGTCGCTGTCCGTGACCGCCATGTCGAGTGTTTCGATTCCACCTCTAAACTCGCTTCACGCAGACAATCTCTGCGGTCGTGTCCAAAGTGTACTTACGAGTGCCAGTTTGAGAGAGTAGGACGGATGACAAGCATGAAATAAAGGAAGAGACATGCGAGAAGTGAGAAAAACAAGTCAAGCAGAAGCGAAGAACAAGTGTCGGAAAGCTTCATATTTAATTCACTTGAACGAACGGGGTAAGCAGATCGGCTCATCAGAGCATCAACCGAATGATCGCAGTCTGGCGGCCTAAGTCAAGCAAAAGTGAAGCATAAAAGACAGACATGCTGAGACTTGGTGCCAACCAACATTCAGTTGAATTGCCAGTGATATTGCGCATGGAGATTGAGAAAGAGTAGTGGCTGAAGGTGATTGATATACGAGGAAAATGAGAAATCATGTACGCACACCTCTAGTCTGCCTTTCTTGAATCTCAAAGAATAAGACAGGTCTGAAATAGATATGCCTATGACAGCAGTTGGGCATTCACAGTGAACATCAACCCGAAAGCAGAGTTTGCTGGAAGAGCAACCGGCGGTCAAGCCTCGATCTCGCGCGGAAGAAATGCTCGGTGGCACTTCGTGACTTGTGATCTCCGACCATGGGGATAGTTGCGGTCGCAGACGTAATTGCTCTGTTCTGAGTCGCGCTGTTGAAAAGAGAGAGGAAAGGGGAAGGACGTGAGATAACCAGTTGGCTCATTGGACTCTATTGGGGTATCTTTTGAAGAGTGGATAAATATACAATGTTTCACAGCACTTACTGTAACAAGTGTCTAGCCCTCGGCAGACATGTTCAAGGTCTTGACCTGCCAACGATCTGGATCGCGCTCGATCCAGTCTTTCTTCTCTCCAAGGACGCAGACGGACTTCAAATCCGAAGGGAGGTCCACAAGGTACTTTTGGGCGACCGCTTGCACAGCCTCTTTGGTGACACCCAGTAGGCGCTCGCGCATCTCCTGGTCCATATCCTCCGTGATGCCGTACATAAACTCTTTACTAGCTTCGCTGCTCACGCTTCTGGGAGCATCGATGCCTTGAAAGATGCTTAGCTTGCTCTCCTCAAGTTCTCGGCCGCTCCAGTCTTTGTCGCGGGCGTGCACTCCCGCGCGCTCGAACACACTTATCGAAGTGCGGGGATTAGGATCCCGATACGAAGACATGGTGAACAATCCACTGATGGGGCTTGCGCTCGCCGATGCACCGTATGCGCCACCTTTTTCTCGGACTTCGGGATGGAGAAAGCTGTGGACCAGCAGCTGGCCAAGCACGGTGAGTGGTGCTTTGTCCGGTGAGTTATAAGGTGCAGTTTGCAGGCATGTTCCTGTATAGGAGACCTGGAATGGCAAGTCGAAGAATGCTCGCCTCGACAACAACGAACCAGGTACAGCGTTTGATAGAGCTGAACTGCTCACTAATGGTTGACCTCGTGGTAGTTGCACCAGAAATCTCTCAATGAGATCTCGATTATCCTTCACCGAATCAGGCTCACACACGAGACGCATTGACAAATCGGCTGAGTTGGTGACTGCTATTGATTGAATGGTCTGCAGCTTCTGGATGACCTTCTCCAAGCTCTCCGGATCTCGCCTGGCTGCTTCCAGAATCCGAGCTGTAGATTCTATTTGTGAGAGACCAGAAAGCTGATCTTGAATCCGGCCTCTTTGCGTCAGGGCTGCAGAAGCGCTCGTTATGGCGAAATGGTGACCGCTTTCTGCAACGGTGTCCAATGCGCCTGAAGCTTTAGATTCCAGGAGCTCTCGAATGGCAGCAATAGCCCCTGGGCTTGTGAAGTCAATGTCCAAAAGCAGCGTACGGATGAGGTCAAGCATGGCTGGAACATTCCTGTCGAGCGCATACCCGTCAATCAAGAGGCCTTCGTTGCATCCCTCCAAGCTCCACGGGTCGGGTGCCGCAAACGATGAGACCGTTATGCCGCCGGTCTTCAGAAGAATTTCGGCTTCCAGGTCTCCCACGGACATTGTTTTCGTGCCCAATCGCATCAGCGAATCCGTAAATAGTGGCAGGAGTAGCCTCAGCTCGTTAGGAAGGTTCTTCAAAAGATGCTTGGCTTGGAAATATGTGATGCCGTTTGTCTCGGTTTCCCGCCACAAGCAATCCACATCACCAATCTTCAGATGATATCGTGGTTTCCTCTCCTTTTCCCGAGCAATGTCACTAACGCGGAGAGTTGGGAGGGTGTCCAAGTTCTTGTCCTGGGCCTTTTCTTGTTCCTCAACGAGGTCGAGTTCCTGTTGACCGAGCTCAGAGATGGCGGCTTCAGGTGAGCTGGCGGTTTTCTTGATGGTTTCTAGGATGCTCTTCCTTCGATCTTCTTCTCGTGTATCCAGGTCTTCACCGTAAGACTGTGAGGGTGTCATTGTAAATTGCATGCAGCTGTCGTTCAAGAGATATCTTTGTACAAGTCGGTCAAGATATTTCTCTGTTGTCATCCGCTGTCTGAAGGCGTCGATGATCTCGTTCCATACCAGTGAGTCCATTGGGTTGACTCCGTTGAACCACCCAGGGAGAGTTTTCTCCAGTAGACCCATTCCAAAATTGGCCGTTTTGTGTTTCAAGGAAAGCTCCAGCTGGTGCATGTAACCTTCAATCTTGTTTGACTGAAACGCTTCGTGAGCTTTTTCTTGCAAAATTTTCTGAATGGTCTGTTTCAGCCCAGAAATATCTTCAGCTTTCATACCATCGAGCCCGATCGAGAATACCCCAACCCTTGCAGAGGCATCGTATCCGGAATTAGGGCTGAAGTTGGTACCCAAGCCCGATTCGATCAGCCCTTGATACAGAGGGGAGCCATAGCCATTCATCAGCAAGGACATCATTATGCTCACACAAAAGGTCTCGACAATATCCGAAGAGGGACAGCCCATCCAGGAAACGGAAGACTTAAATTGCCGGTCAGGGGGCTGCATTGTATCGACTGGGCCGGGGACTTCGAAGGCTAGGGGGCCTTTAGAAAAACTGATGGGCATCTTGATCTCTGAATCCGGCGCGGCCTTTTCAAATTTTGATATGGTCTCGTCCACATACTGAAGTTGTTCTGCCAGGCTTAGACTGCCATAAGAGAAGATCTTTGCGTTGCTGGGATGGTAGTTCTTGCGAGAGAAGTCGACGAGTCGATCGTGCGTGAGCTGGGTCATGAATTCGGGATCACCCCCAGAATTGTGTAGAGAGGGTATAAGGTGTTCTCTAAATCTGATGTAGAAAAGATAGCTAGCATCCGACATCTGCCCTTTCATCTCGTTGTAGACAACTCCTTTGAACTTGATATTGTCTTCCGTTGGCGGTGCCCGGGGGTCTTCGGGACCAAGCCGCCACCCTTCTTGCAGGAAGTCCGTCCGTTTCAACAGCGGGTGGAGAGTTGCATCCATGTACACAGACGACAGATTGCGGTAATCTTGAAGATTTGTCGTGGCAAACGGGTATGAGGTGTAATCGGAAGATGTAAATGCGTTCATAAAATTGGCCAGTGATCTCGGCATCATCTTGAAAAAGGGATCCCTCACAGGATACCTTTCGCTCCCGCATAGCGTCACATGTTCGAGGATATGCGGCAAACCTGTTCTGTCCGTAGGGTTTGTTTTGAAGTTGATGGCAAAGACATTGTTCTTGTCGTCCCGAGCGACATGGAGGTACTCTGCGCCGGTCTTGTCATGCTCCAACCTCAACGCCGTCAAGTGTAACTCGGGCACATGTTTTATTTCTCTCAGGGTAAATCCATGTATGCTCTCTCCAGGTTTGGGATAACTCTCCAAATCCGTCACCGACGCATACCCTCTTCTAGACAGATACGACCTGGCGCACCGACGAATGCCCTGGCGAACGGCGCCATGCTTCAGCATCTCCCGATTGTAGGTTTCGTGGTAGGTAGCCCTATCTCAGGGTAAGGTTCTCTAGGGCCGGTTTGCAACGGTACGATGTTGGCGTAGAAGTGTCGGCCTGTTGTCAGCAGATTTCTTAACGATAGTAAACCCAGGGACGCGTAAATGGCGAAAGATGGCGAAAGAGAAACCAGAATTGCCTAACAAGAAATCTACAAGTCACGTGCTCAGAGCCCCGATCACGACGTTGTTAACCGACTTCGAAAGGCGATTTGCATTTGCTGGGAGGGGTCACAGATGAGTATGAATAGTTTGCTGTCGATGCTCTGTTCAAATCTTGCTGTGGGGAGTAGACATCTCGATTCATCATTGAGTTTGGTATATTGCGCATTTGTACACAGTGCTTGGCCGTGAAGGAAATCCCAGATCTGCGCGGCACGTCCTCCGATCGAGGTTCGTTTCGCTCGATCTCTTTCCACCGTGCTTGACTGGACTATCTCTCCCTCTGTGGTCCGCATAATTTACACACAGCAAAAAATAGACCCGTCATCACATTTTACCTAGAGATATTCCGGCAATCCTCACGTTCTTTTGCGTCCAATTGGTGTCTGACGCCACTGTGAAAGTCTTTGTCGCAGATGTCAAGGCCGAGTACTACAGTCGTGGGCACGAGTTTCGAAGGCTATCACTGGTCTTAAACCGACATACAAACGCTGCAGCTCACGGGCCTGCGCTTTCGATCATATGGCTACCGCAGCGCACAGTCCTACTTCTCAAACCACGAATGGCGACAGCCACGATTTGCCCCCGCCCGCACCCGCTACAAAGAAAGGCAAGGGAAAGAAGGACAAGCAACTGAGCGCCGAGGAAAATGCAAAACTAGTGCAAGCGCGGTTATCACAGCTGGAGCAGGAGAAAGCGGGTGACAAGGCTCAGCAGGCGGAGATCGACCGCGAAGTGAAGAAAGCTATTCGCGACCTCAATGAGTTGATCAACGGCGTCGAACCCCTGAAGGGGATCGACCTTGTCAAACAAAAATATGAAGAGCTCCTTGCTGAAATGAAAAAGACCGAACGCGAACACCTCAAAGCCAAAAAGAGTCGCGACCAGTACCAGAAGGAGGCCGAGAAATCCAAGTCGGAACACAACAAGACCACCACGATGAAGGACAAGTTGGAAAAGCTGTGTAGAGAGTTGACAAAAGAGAACAAAAAACTCAAAGATGACAATAAGAAGCTTGAAGAGACCGAGAAACAGGCTCGAGACAGCATCAATGAGCGTCTAGACCAGATGCTTTACGATGTGCAGGAAGCTATGAACTCCAAGACAAGCGCACATCCCGAGAGCCTTCATCTCGAGCTGGACGAGTTGTGAGTATGCGCAATCATTGGTTTAGGAGGTTGGCTAATATTTCGACAGATTCAGGACGCGATGCAAGGTCCTCGCAGATCAAGCTGAAATCCGAGAAATGCATTTCAAATCAATACTTCGCCACAAAGATGCCGAGATTGCCCATCTGCAAGCCAAACACGAGGTCGAGCGGCGAAGGGCCGACACTGAAGCAGCTCGGTGCCGGACTCTGACGGGCCAAGTGTCGACCTTCTCTCATACTGAGGCGGAGCTCCGCAGTCAATTGAATATCTACGTGGAGAAATTCAAGCAGGTTAGTCCCATTCCACCCCTTACCTTATTTTGATTGATGCATGAGCTGAAACTCTTTGCTCACCATCCAGCAGGTGGAAGACACCCTCAACAACAGCAACGAGCTATTCCTCACCTTTCGAAAAGAAATGGAGGAGATGTCCAAGAAGACAAAGCGGCTCGAAAAAGAAAACCTCACGCTCACGCGCAAACATGACCAGACAAATCGCAACATCTTGGAAATGGCCGAGGAGCGCACGAGGGACAAGGAGGATCTGGAGAGGCTTCGAAAGCAGGAACAGCGGATGCGCAACATCATCAAGATCATGCAGGAACAGGGCCGAGGTCGGCCGATCCAACAAGAGCCGGTGGACGAAGAAGGCACTGAAAGCGAGTATGACGAAGAGTACGAGGACGAGGACGACGATGATGAAGCCAGTTATGAGGGAGAAGAGGAGCTGGCGACCGAAATCGCGAAGCCTGTGTTTGGACCAGTGCCTCCGCCAGAAATGGTCGCCTCCAAGGCTAACGGCCAGAATACGGTGGCGCCAACACTCGTCAATGGTATCCAGCATTAAAGATGTGCATGCAAAACATCGCTTGTATTCTTTTGGGGACTCAGGAACAATTGAGTTAGCTCGCACGTTTATACAGGTGCCTAGATGTCAAGGTATCCTCCCAATACACCAAAATCCAACTTTGTTCGGGGCCATGTTGCTTGCGATTGGAAGCAGGATGGCGTACCTCGTATAAGGGGGGGCCTTGGTGCGTGCGTCACTCCGCAGGAACAAAATTCGGGAAAGAGACCAAAGTGGCCCTCTCAGCTCACCAGAATCTTGCGTTGCATGTGAACTACTTGCGCATTGTCCCAACAAGAGCCCACCTGCCCATCCCATGTCAGGATGGCTTGCGTGTCTGCAGTGCTTGCAGTTCCTCTCTTAGACTTTTCTGATCCGCCGTGAAAAGAATTCGTATGATAGACTGCGACGACTCTCCCATCCTTTTGGCGCCCGGTCGCGGCTTTGCCCTCCGATGACGCCTCAGAAGCTCACGAGAAATGAATCTGGCCGATCCACGTCTCAGGAAATCCACGACCAACATGACCTGACGCTGTCTCGCACTCCACGTCCATATCTTCTCCGGGCAGAGAGCCTGAGGCTGGCGCATTTCCAGCGCATTGACAATGGCTCCGATGTTGTCTCCAACGGCTATGTATCCTCCCCGAAACCCAGCCGTTCCGAGTCCAGCGAGAGCGGGACAGAGGCAGACGATGAGAAGGGGCCCTTTCTCAAGGGACTTCCTGCGCCGCCTCCACGTCTGCACAAGGGACTTCGAGGAACTTCGCCCGCCAATTTGACTCCCGCCCACAGCCCGCTTCCCACGCCGCCAGCCTTTGTTGAAGGGGAGGAACCACGATTCTTCGACTCGGTGCAGAAGGCAGGAAAAAAACCACAACGGACGAAAGAGCAGGCGAGAGACTACGAAGCATATAAGAAACGAAAGCGACGCGAGATCGTTCGACGATGCACGGAAACGTCGCTTCTTTGCGGCATCGGGGTGGTCGTCTGGAACAGCAGAGGGGGCTCAACAGGTCTCAAGGACTGGCTCCACGAAATCACGGCTTTCCTCTTAATCCCGCCGTTCGTCTATCTGCTCTATCCGATCAGGCTCACTATGCGTGCCTTGGCCGCAAGAAAGTCTGTTCTGCATGCCATCAGGCTGGGATTCCACATCCCCTCTCGATTTGACCCTGGCCCTCTGTTGTACCCGGTGACGCTGCCATTAATGATATCCATTTCTCTATTCCACCAGAGCATTGCATTTCTCCCAGCAGCAATCATCTGTGGGCTGTCGTCGATACCGCCAATGATTACAGCAACACCAAAGACTCCAACCCTTGGGGTGCATCTTCACTGGCTCCTTTCCATTGTACCTTTACATACCTCGAAATACCGATTATCTTCTGCCTCAGTTCCGAAGCCGTTGTCTTTGAAAATCGATCCCGGCTCTCCGTTGACCAGGGAAGACCTGGTGCTCCTATTTCCCTTGCACCAGGCCTTGATCTCAATGCTCGGATACCTTACGACTTCAAGTCTGGACGTTTCAGAACTACACCTCCTTTCCTCAGCACTGATTAACCTCTACATTTTTGCTCGGACGCCCCAGGCCGAGATTCTCAAAGCGATGATATGGCTGGGAGGTTTGAGCATTTTCATTACATGTAAGAACGTCCTGATGTGGGAAGTCGCCCTGGCACGGGTGCCCACTTGGAGGCTGTTGCGTTCACGGCGGCCTGGGGGATTGATGTCCAAATTCGATCAGTACATATGCAGCTTCCTTGTACGCAGCAGACATCAACGCGCCCAGGCAGACAGTTCCGACACTGAAGATGAGGTTCAACCCATGAATCCTATTCGGAGACTGAGACCCCGGTTGAAGCTGCAGCTGAATGGCAGAGCTTTCTCTGCCACGGGACCTGCCCAGGAGCCTGTGTCGGCCTTTGAGACGCCGCTTTCCAAGGCTACTTCACTGGATACCGCAGCTTTGTCGGCACCGATCCGAAGAAACACGTTCACCGCTTTTGATCAAGGTCGGCGCAAGCAGCAAATACCGATAGCAAAGAAGGTCAAACTAGCTCCCACTGGGCCTTCGGCGGCGTTTCTCACATTCAGCGTGGCACAAGCTCGAGTTCGAAAGTATGCGTATGCGGCGATCGCCTACCTGCTTGTGATGGGCACAATCCTGGGACCGGTTCGGATCTACGTAGGCCGACGTGCTTTGTCGAACCACGAACCCGTAGGCTGGGCGTTGGGATACTTGCTCGGTAATGTACCCGCCTTCCGACTTTGGGTGGTCAGCAACAACCTCGAACGATGGATCTGCCTCCCGGCTCGAGAAACGGACGACCCGCTGCCGTTCGGAGATGGTGTGATTGAACATGCCCGCCAACATACTCTTGGACCAGCCACCACACGCCTCATTATTTGTGCCTACTGCCTGGTGGTGCTCATGGTTGGGATAGCCGCCGTCCTCCGCCTCACCTCGGTCGTCGAAGTCGACACAAGACGCAAAGTCTTTCATGGCATCATGGTTGCCATGCTCTTGCCCACCATATTTGTGGATCCCTGTTTTATTGCGTTGGCGCTCAGCTTGATTTTGGCGATTTTTCTCCTCCTAGACCTGTTCCGGGCGTCACAACTACCTCCGATCTCCAAACCCCTGACTGTTTTCCTGGCTCCTTACGTGGATGGCCGAGATCATCGCGGGCCTGTGATTGTGTCCCATATTTTCCTGTTGATTGGATGTGCAATACCGTTATGGCTGTCGCTTGCTGCTGCGCCGCGCGTGGGCCAAGATCCTTGGGCTGGCTGGGACACCACATTGCGTGACTTGAGCATGGTGAGCGGTGTTATCTGTGTTGGAATGGGGGACGCAGCGGCCAGCTTAATCGGACGGCGTTATGGCAAGACAAAGTGGTACTGGGTCGGTGGGAAGAGCTTGGAGGGCAGCCTCGCGTTTGCGTCTGCCGTCACTTGTGGTCTCTCGGCGAGTTGGCTCTGGCTCAGATTGGGTGGCTGGGCCTCGTGGCATAACGGCGATCCATTTATGCTGACGCTGGGGAAGTGTGTGGTTGCGGGGACAGGGGCGAGCCTCCTGGAGAGCACGCTGACCGCTGCCAACGACAATGTCGTCGTTCCGGTTGGGCTCTGGCTGCTGGTGAGAGGCCTGGATATATAATCCGACGGAGCGCGGGCATCATTGCCGTGTGTAATTTGTAGCTGTGCAAGTGATCAGATACCCCCTCTGGACCATGGTTTACAGCACGCACCGGACGTACGAGGAAGTCGATGCGCGAACTTGGTGTTCGGAGACCCTTGCCATTAGTCTACCACTACGTCAGGTACGAGGAGCAGATCCGGAAGAACGAACCCACTTGGCAAAGATGGACGGACGGGCGAGTCCGATAGGGACAGGGAGTCAGGTGTTGGGAGGCGATGATTCGCCCATGGCACAGAGAGGCAAAGAAGTCCGGGGGAGAGTGGCAGAGCGAGGCAGATGGCTGCAGATGGCCGCAGATGGCAGCTCTAGCCAACGAACGAGCTCCCGCCGCCTGATCAGCGAACGAGGCGAAGCTGGGAAGATGATGGCCTTATCTCTTGCTTTCCCATATCACTCCGATTAGTCGTAGCCGGCAGCAGAGGAGTCACACGTTCGCTCCCACGCCTCCCCCCAAAGTCCGAGGGCAGGGTGGGCAGTGGACATTGGACAATGGCAGAGCAGGGGACCGCGAGCATCCACCGCCCACACCACCCACACCACGCCATACCCACGTCCAGGCTTGTCTTGTCTTGTCTTGCCGCTGGGAGCGGGCGAGTGCTGGTGCGATAGACACGGACAAGTCTCGCCTTTTTATCGCTTTATCGACGCCGAATGACTGCATGACTAACTTCCCTCTCTGCACGCTGCACGCTGCGCCCTGCCTGCCCTGCACCCTATACGACTGACTGCACTCCGGACTGCCCTTCCTCCCACCCCTTCATCTCGCTGCTTGAATTCACCGTTACTGTAGCCTACAATTATTTTTTGGTCCTTCTTCAACACCTCATCTATCCTGTATCCTATCTCTCTGGCCTTTAAGCCGCATCACGTTCTTTGTGCGTCGTGCCGGTTGTTCAGTGCTCCGCATCCCCCCAAGTCACACGTCACTCATCTTGTCCAACCACAGATTTCCCCCCAGAGTCGCGCGCCCGACAACCACCACGTCCTCGCACCACCCGCCATCCCAACCGACCAACTGAGGTCTATCTGTGCTGTTTCATCCAGACTCAACCATTGCACCTTGGGCCCCTATTTCCCCGCCGAGTCTGTGAGAGCTTCTCTGCACCGCAGTTGCGCAACCTCCCGAAATCACGCAGCCTGCCGTCCAATTGCGCCATCTCCACTCCTACGATTTGTGCCCGGTCGCCTGCTACCTGTTGACTCAAGCCATCCATTCATCGGTCGTTGTCACCTTTCCATCTCAGTCGTTCGCTTCATCCCGAGCAATCCATGGGCCACCACAACCCCTTGGACCCTTCTCTTCAACGTAGAAGATAGCCTCCGAAGCAACCTCACCTCACCTGACCATCCACCACTGGCCCTGTTGACCGAAGTAGGTGGAGGAGGCGAAGGGAGAACATGGCGTCCACAACCCCTCAATCATCCACTCCCAGGAGGTCGAGGGAGTCGGAGCGGATAGGCAGCTTTCAGCGTCATGAAGAGATTGGTCGAGGCAGTTTTGCAACGGTCTACAAGGCCATCCACACGGTTCGTCCATCCAAGCCACCACTTCTGGAAGACATACTGACAGCTTTCTTAGACCAGTTCGGGGGTCCAGAGCATCGTGGCAATCAAGTCTGTCAATATGTCCAAGTTGAACAAGAAGCTGAAGGACAACCTGACGTCGGAGATCTCGATCCTCAAAGGCCTCCATCATCCCCATATCGTAGCCCTCATCGACTGCAAAGAATCGAGTGCTCACATACATTTGGTCATGGAGTATGTTGCTCTGGGTGATCTTTCCCACTTTATCAAGAGACGAAATGAGATCAAGGACAGTGACTTGGTCGGAAACATGATGGTCAAATATCCCAACCCTCGATACGGCGGCCTTCACGAGGTGGTGGTCCGACACTTCCTAAAACAGCTCGCCAGTGCTTTGCAGTTCTTGCGAGCTAAAAATCTCATTCATCGAGATGTCAAACCCCAGAATCTCCTACTGAACCCGTCCCCTGACTACTTCGAAAAACACAAGCCACACCCCATGCCTTATAAAGTTGGCGACGACTCCCTGAATCCGGTCACCGGCATCAAATCATTACCTATGCTTAAAATTGCAGATTTTGGGTTTGCTCGGTCACTGCCCTCGACAGCCCTGGCGGAAACACTGTGTGGTTCGCCACTCTATATGGCACCAGAGATCTTACGGTACGAGAAATATGGCGCAAAAGCCGATCTTTGGTCTGTGGGAACGGTGCTTTTTGAGATGATGACGGCACGCCCTCCTTTCCGGGCTTCCAATCATGTCGAGTTACTTCGAAAGATCGAAAAGAGCGAGGACAAGATCAAGTTTGGGGATGAATACATTATCACCGAGGAGATGAAGAAGCTCATCCGGTCACTCCTTAAGAGAGATCCCGAGGAGAGACTTTCGTTTCCCGATTTCTTCAGCAACGAGATCGTGGCAGGCCCCATTCCTGGGTTGCACCCTGAGGATATGCCCCAAGATCCCGTTCAACCCCAAAACGACCGTCGGCGGAACAGTCGAACTGATCCTGTAGGGCTTGTCCGTCCAGGCTCCAGAAAGGAACCCGAAAGTCCTTATATTGATTCTTCCAAGACCACATCGGAAGAAAATATACCACGGCGATATAGTCGGCCGTTATCCGGCACAAAGGATCAAATCATCACGCAAAGAATCACAAATGAAGAGCTTCAAGCTACTCTGGCGTCACCCACCAGTCCAGCTGAATGCCGTCCTGCTCTTCATCCTCACGCCACCGCACCAGCAAGGCAAGAACTCATTCTGCGTCCCTCGTCGGCTCCAATGACCCGTCAGACAAGCACAGGCTCGCACAAATTACCCCCTTCCTCGTTGCGTGGCCAAGTCTACGATGAAGACCAGGAAGCCACCCTGCGCAAGGAACAGGAGGAAAAGGAGCGGGAGCGGGTCGCGCAGGATATTGCCTTTGAGCGAGACTACGTCCTGGTGGAGAAGAAGGCGGTGGAGGTCAACGCACTGGCAGATGAGCTTGAAGCCAGTCCACGATTGAACAGGAATTCTCTCCAGACTGCCATGTCCCCCAAGTCTGGAGCCATGGTCCGCAGAGCCACAACACAGGGCGCGCCTGGCTCGGCTACGGGCGCTCAGACGAGCGCTTCTCGTGCTGTCCAGATTGCCTCAGGGAGGAGACCAGAGTCACTTCATCAACGGCAAAACTCCTACGAACGACGATACGGCCCCAGCCCTAGCTCGGCAACTTCTGCGATATCAAAAGCTCTCAATATGGCGAGCGGCCGGCTGTTCGGAGTTGGATTCTCTCCTCCCGTGAACCTGATTCGCGGCGGCAAATCTCCCCCAATCACCTATAGCCCATTTCCTACATATCCTGGAGCACAGAGCAGCTTGGTCGTGATCGGGGATTCTAAGGGAACACCAGCCGCCGACGAAGACACGAAATATGTCCAGAATGTGGAGGAAATTGCCACGAGAAGCGACGTTGTGTATGGCTTTGCTGAGGTCAAGTATAAACAATTGATTCCTGCCGGCCCATCACACCCAGGGCTTGGTTTGCGCAACGCATCCGGGGATAACGCCACCGGGGGACCATTTGGGGCCTCTAATGAAGATCTCACCATTGAAGCAGTCGTGGTCGTCGCGGAAGAAGCCTTGGTGCTCTATGTCAAGGCATTGGCTTTGCTCGCTAAAGGCATGGACATTGCAGCACGTTGGTGGGCGCGCAAGAATCGGGCTGAGGCTACTAGCGATAATGTCACATATCGGTCCAACGCAAACTCGGCTGCTGCAGGGCAGAGGATGAACAACGTCGTGCAATGGATACGGAATCGCTTCAACGAAGTTCTCGAAAAGGCAGACCTGGTTCGTCTCAAACTCATCGATAGCCAGCGACGTTTGCCGGAAGATCATCCCAGTCATCCGAACAATATTTCGTCCACAACTGCGTCGAGCGCCGGCTTAGGGACCTCGGCAGACCAGGTGGTTGTAAGCTCTGGTATCACCGCCGAGAAGCTCATGTATGACCGAGCCTTGGAAATGAGTCGAGCCGCCGCCATCAATGAGTTGACCAATGAAGACTTGGCCGGGTGCGAAATCTCGTATGTGACAGCCATCCGGATGTTAGAAGCTGTTCTGGAGAACGATGACGACAACCTGTCCAGGAACGGCAGTGGGACTAGCGACCAAGATGAGAAAGAGGATCTGGCTCCGATCAATGGATTGGAAGCTGAGGACAGGAGGACTGTGAAAAATTGTAAGTTGTTGTTGAGTGCGTCGGACGGTTCACTTGCTAACTGTTCCTTCCTCAGTGGTAGCGAGCATTCGCCAACGGCTGACCATCATTCGGAGAAAGCTTCAAGTCATTCAGAAGCGTGCATCGGCACCGGCCGTTGCGTCTCCAACGAGAGCATCTCCTCCTATTCCACACCGTGGTAGCCACCCCAATCCAGGGACCGCCGCTACACCTCCACGATCATAACCTAATCGGGATTCACGAAATCATGAATACGTCTTTGGAGCGCTTGTTTAAAATGAACCCGGCAACGGGGCTTGCAGAGCCATCGTGACGGGGACATGGTTTGGCGTATACTTGGGCGTCTGTTTGAACTTCTCAGCCATCAGAGAGACCTCTCAACACTTGAACCTTGTGGGTGTGGTCTCTCTTGGCTTGTAATTATCCTACTTGTGTTATTTTTTTTTCCTACTCATTTCTCGTTTTCCAAATGTCCTCGGGCTGAGGCGATGGTGGCAATCATTCTTGAACAGCGTTCGGCAACACGGATGTGGCATATATTGGCGTTTTATACACTTTCCCCAAATCGAACTCGGATGAATTGAGCAAGCTCACTCGGGCTTACGTGCATGGGGCAGGAGGTGGTCGAGCTTTGATCCGTCCCAGGGAGATTTTGGACAACGGAATGGAACAAGATACCCGCTCACGACACGCAGATCACGGACGACTTGAACTTTGAAGAAAATGCGATGAAGGCTGGCGCGATGGTTCAAAGAATTTCGAACGAGTTTTATGTGGGGATGGGAACAGGCAGGGGTTTCTGTGCGGGCGTGGGTAATCTGGTCATGTGTGTATACCGGGCACTTCTGCGTTATACTCTCCACGGTGAAAGGAATCTATACGGAAAGCGGCCACGAGCATGGGCAGGATGCCCAAGTGCTCCTTGTCTATACGAACTGGTGGCATCGGCTTTTTGGTGGTGGTCATCGTGATATCACCGAGACAGAGCAACGATGGCTCCAAGCTAAGAGATCGTGATCAAAATCTTCAGTATAGAGAAAAAAAGACGCCCGTGGTTTTCCCCTCTCCAATCGTTTCATCCCCTGTTCTCAATAATGTGCCAGACAACTATGGAGAATCACCCACTTAGATAAGTGACTTCCTCAAACTTGCTGGGTGTCTTCGTTCTAGCAAGAAAGAATAGTAAAACAAATCAAGAATGCACGGAGATGTAGAGCATTTTGATGCCGGTTCTTGCGTGAGTGGGAGAGGGGAGGGTGGCGAGAGCTAATCTTGGGTACAGGATCAGGCTATCGGCCATTAAGACGCCTTCAACGTCGAGTAGGAGGTGACTGAGGCCCGCGAGGCTGAGGCCGAATTCGCGTAAGATATGCCGTGTCAGCCTCATCGAAGAAACGAATGGCCCGCCGAGTGTGTTGTGGGAGAGATCATTCTTGTGGAACTGGGGCCGTGCAGCAACAGACACGAGGATTCTGTGGTCAGCAGGACCTTGAGGATGAGGCCAGGGGATCTTGGTGCATCGGATCTGACGGGCTGCGAGTCAGATGCAGGTATTCAGGACAGAATACGGCTCGACAACGCAGGGTGTGCAGTCAAAGAGGAAGGAGAGTGAGAAACAGGAAGTCGATCACTGCAACAAAAGTCCCGCGGGAAGAATTGAACTCGCCGCACTTGCCCCATTGGACACTTGGGCCGGCTAGTCACGCTAGTATCGGCTCACCTGCGCTAATGACCAAGTAGGAAGGTATCTCAGGCGCCTTGCACCGCAGCTGGCTGGCGCACGAGACCTTCTGCCTGCCCACCCTCAACTGCGAATCCCTTCATTCCGTCCCCATTCCTTTGACTTTTTCATTCTAGACGGGGGCTGACCTTTTCTCTGTTGAGAAAGTCAGGTGGTTGAGTACAAGTAGATGCAGCCATTCTACACACGCTCTCTTTCCGGGCTTGCTGTTGAACCGCGGATCCTACCTCTGCAGCGACTACCAACACAGATCCTTCGACGGTCCTTCCAAACGCAATCTACGGACCTCCCCTACGTCAAGAACAACAGTGCCTTTCGTCCAGGCCACAAACAGCTTGCTGTGCGACCTCCAACTCTACAAACGAGGCCCTTTTCTCTTTCATCTTCGAGGCTCGGAGCTCCAAGACATCGTTCTTTGAAGCCGTTGCCTCCTCAGACTTCTGCGATTCCAACTCCCTTGCGGCCTTCAGCTTCTCCTGCAGCTAACATGTGTCGCTTCATGTCCGACTCGCCTGGTGCCGCAACCACTCAAGGCCGAATCGTGCTCCCCACAAATGTCGTCCCGAAACACTACGACGTGACCCTCGAGGTCGACTTTGAGAAGTTCGTCTTTCAGGGAACCATCGTCATTGACCTCGACATCGCAAAGGATAGCACCTCTATTTCCTTGAATACCGTGGAGCTCGAAATCCATTCCACAACCGTCCACGCAGACGGCGTCCTAATTACGTCCTCTCCGAAGCTCTCGTACGATGCGGACACACAAACAACAACCATTGACCTTGGCGAAGGCAAGTCGCTGTCCAAGGGCCAGAAGGTGCAATTGAAACATACGTATACGGGTCAATTGAATGACAAAATGGCCGGATTCTACAGGTCCAAGAGGAGAGACGGGCAGTATTTGGCAGTCACCCAGTTTGAGGCCACTGACGCCAGGCGAGCGATGCCTTGCTTTGATGAACCTGCACTCAAGGCTGAGTTTACGGTCACGTTAATTGCCGATGAGGGTATGACGTGTTTGTCGAATATGGATGTGGCTTCGACCGAGACTGTGCATTCGGACATCATCGGTGGGAAGAGGAAGGCCGTCAAATTCAATCGATCACCCAAAATGTCAACTTATTTGTTGGCGTTCATCGTTGGAGAGTTGAAGTCGATCTCTACGGACAAATTCAGGTTACCCATCAAGGTGTGGATGACCCCCGAGCAGAATGAAGAAGACGGACGATTTGCCCTCGGTGTTGCAGCCAAGACTCTGGCATTCTACGAGAAGGCGTTCCAAGCTCCCTACCCTTTGCCTAAGATGGACATGGTGGCAATCCCTGATTTTGCCGCTGGTGCAATGGAGAACTGGGGTCTGGTCACTTACCGAGTGGTGGATCTGCTCTTCGATGAGAAGTCGGCGGGTGCTGCGACCAAAGAGAGAGTGGCAGAGGTTGTGCAGCATGAACTGGCACACCAATGGTTCGGAAATCTGGTGACAATGGACTTCTGGGACGGCTTGTGGCTCAATGAAGGGTTTGCAACTTGGATGAGCTGGTACAGCTGTAATGAGTTCTACCCCGAGTGGCGGGTGTGGGAGACCTTTGTGATCGACACCTTGCAATCAGCCTTGGGATTGGATGGGCTCCGAAGTTCTCATCCGATCGAAGTACCTGTGCATCGTGCAGAGGACATCAATCAGATCTTTGACGCCATTTCCTACTCGAAGGGATCGGCTGTCCTGAGGATGATTTCGAAGTATCTCGGCGAAGACGCCTTCATTGACGGCGTGAGGAGATACATCAAGAAACATGCCTGGGGGAATACACAAACAGGCGATCTCTGGAACGCACTGGGTGAAGCGAGTGGTAAGGACGTTGCCCATGTAATGGATATCTGGACGAAGAACATTGGGTACCCGGTCGTAACAGTGACGGAAAACGAGAAGGACTCTACCATCACAGTTAAGCAGAACAGATTTTTGCGCACAGGTGACGTTAAACCGGAGGAGGATAAGGTCCTCTACCCGGTCATCCTCGGGTTAAAGACGAAGGACGGAGTGGATGAAAGCCTAATGCTCACTGAGCGGGAACAGACGTTCAACATCAAGGGAGGACTGGACTTCTACAAATTGAATGCAGACCATTCGGCCCTCTACAGGACGAGCTACACGCCACAGAGACTCGCGAAGCTTGGTGAAGCAGCGAAGAAGGGCCTGCTTTCGGTTGAAGATCGAGCCGGTATGATCGCTGATGCTGGTGCCCTTGCTGCTAGTGGATACGGCAAGACATCAGGTATTTTGAGCCTTCTGCAATCGTTCAACACCGAGACACAGTTTGTGGTGTGGAACGAGATTCTCAGTCGGATCAACGCCGTCAGGAATACCTGGATCTTTGAGGATGAGCCGATTAAGGATGCACTCAAGGCCTTCCAGCTGAATCTGACATCTGCAAAGGCCCACGAGCTAGGATGGGAGTTTTCTGAAAATGAAGACCACATCTTAAGCCAGTTCAAGAGCCTGATGTTTGGCTCTGCTGGCCTTGCAGGGGATGCGAAGATCCAAGCTGCCGCAAAGGAGATGTTTGGGAAGTTCATGAAGGGTGACTATTCTGCGATTCATCCCAACCTCCGGTCATCGGTATTTGCGATGGCATTAAGAGACGGAGGAGAGAAGGAATGGGATGCGCTGGTGGCAAGGTATCACTCTGCGCCGACCTCGGACGAGAAGAATACTTGTCTGCGGACTCTTGGGCGAGCAAAAGATCCAGAACTGATCAAGAAGACGCTCGAGTTTGCATTGAGCGGACAGGTCAAGATGCAAGACATCTACATGCCTATCGGCGGCCTGGGAACTACTTCGGAAGGCATCGAGAAAAGATGGGAGTGGATGTGCGCCAACTGGGATGAGCTCGTGGAGAAGCTACCTCCCAGCATGACCATGTTGAGCAGTGTCGTTAGCATCTGTGCTGCGGGCTTCACGTCTGATGCACAGTTGAAGAAGGTTCAAGATTTCTTCGAAGGCAAGGACAAGAAGGGATTCGATCGCAGCTTGCAGCAGAGCATGGACAGTATCCAGGCGAAGGCGAACTGGCTGAAGAGGGACGGCGAGGATGTGCAGAAGTGGCTGAAAAGCAGTGGGTATCTGAAAGAAGGGGTGGTGAGCGGGAAGCTGTAGCTGCGACCGGAAGGAGAATGGTTGTGTGCTGATTCTCTCGCTGAGGGCGGCTGTATTAGTAGTAGATGATACACATACGCATAGATTGCTTACGGCTAGAGAGGTAGCTAGGCGAAACAGCTCTCGTGACCAAGTACTGGAGACCGTACAAATACGTCCTCGTTGGAGTGGACAGGCTCAGCCTCGGCGAAGAATGGACTGACGAGGCTGAGGCGGTGAGGGGAAAATGCACGGCAAGTGGTGCCACCGACTGCAGTGGCTCGATTCGGATGGATTTATCCAGGAAGCCAGCCTCCACCAATCACAATGACTGCGTACCTGGCACGGCCAATTGTCCAAATTAATTTTCTGGTCGCCATCTGCTAAATACTCGGCTGCGCTGCCATACGGTCTCGACACTCTCAACACTCTCCTTATCGCGTCACGACAACCACATTCGTTCCCGCGCTCTGTCGTTCCGCCTCAGTCTTCCGACAACCTCACCACTCTACGCCTCTCTCCCAAGGCTCTGTCACTCTGCGCAACTGAGAACAACAATGGGTCTGCTCGCGGCCCTCTCACAGTCGGCCGAGCGCCTCCTTGGTTCTCTACCGACCTGGCAACTCGGCCTCCTCGGCTTTACCGCCTTCCTTGTGCTCTCCGTGACATGGAATGTTGCGAGACAACTGTTTTTTAAAGATAAGAATGCGCCGCCGGAAGTGTGGAGTTGGTTTCCCGTGATCGGAAACACGTACGTTCTGCTCAAGAAGGAGGCTATTTTCGATTGACTGACGGTGGATCGACCTTTAGGATATGGTACGGCATGGACCCTTTCGACTTCTTCTTCACATGCAAAGCGAAATACGGCGACGTCTTCACCTTCATCCTGCTCGGGCGACGAGTCACCGTCTGTTTGGGAACCAAGGGCAACGAATTCATTTTGAATGGCAAACTGAAGGACGTGAATGCTGAGGAGATATACACCGGATTGACTACACCGGTGTTTGGAGAGGGCGTGGTGTACGACTGCCCCAACTCAAAATTGATGGAACAAAAGAAATTTGTGAAATTCGGCCTCACAATGGAGGCATTTCAATCCTACGTCGACTTGATCGCGAGTGAGACCAAGTCATTCGTGGAGAAGGGCAACCCCTTCCGGTCTCATTCTGGGAAAATCGACGTTGCTCCCGCAATGGCTGAATTGACAATCTACACGGCGTCACGATCGCTCCAGGGCCCTGAAGTGCGGGCCAAATTCGACTCGACTTTCGCCGACCTGTACCATGACTTGGATATGGGGTTTTCGCCCATCAACTTCATGCTCTCGTGGGCACCTCTCCCGCATAATCGCAAGCGAGATATTGCACAGAGAAAGATGGCCGACACGTACATGGAGATTATCAAGCAACGACGAGCTGCTGGTGGCAAACGAGAGAAGGGAGATCAAGACATGATTTGGAATTTGATGGGCTGCGTCTACAAGGACGGCACACCTGTTCCGGACAGAGAAGTGGCGCATATGATGATTGCGCTTTTGATGGCGGGCCAGCACTCATCTTCCTCGACTTCGGCCTGGATTCTATTGAGACTGGCGACGAGACCAGATATCCAAGAGGAGTTGTTGGAGGAGCAGAAACGCGTACTGGGGGAGGACCTACCAACCTTGACGTACGACAACCTCCAGAAACTCAGCCTCAATGCCAAAGTTGTCAAGGAGACGCTGAGATTACATGCTCCAATCCACAGCATTCTTCGCAAGGTCAAGTCACCGATGACGATCGTGGCAGATACGCCGACCTCGACAAAGACTTATCGGATACCCACCACCCATACCCTCCTCTCCGCGCCCGGTGTGACCTCGCGAGAATCCGAGTTCTTCCCTGAACCCATGAAATGGGAACCACATCGCTGGGACGAAGGCCATCCCCTTGCGTACACACGAATGGGCCTGGACAAAGAAGAATTCGAAGACTATGGATACGGCATGGTCAGTAAGGGAGCTTCTTCACCTTATCTTCCGTTTGGCGCGGGCCGACATAGGTGTATTGGCGAGCAATTCGCCTATGTACAGCTAGGGGCCGTGCTCGCGACGATGGTGAGGTTGGTGAAATTTCAGCAGATTGAGGGCACGGAGTTAGTGCCCACAGACTACTCGAGTTTGTTTTCGAGGCCAATGGCGCCGGCTGTGGTGGAATTTGAGAAGAGGGAGAAGGCATGAGAGAGGAGTTGGACGACGACCTTGCAGTTGATGATACTCTCAGGGCGAAAGGATTGTACATACAAGAATAGACCGCTGGAAAACCAAAGGGAACTCGGCCTACAACGGGCACAGTCAGGTCAGGGCTGCCATAGAAGCCAGGTAATAAGGCGTTGAGCATAGCCTGACACGTGGATAGAAGTCAACCGACATAGATGCCTCGGTGGCCACCACGACGCTGTTGAGGATCTCCTAACATAATTCTATATTGTGGCGTCTTGGCTCTCCGCTCCGCGCCACAGTTCGGTGTTGGGTTGTGGCGCCGAGCCTGGATCCGAGCCAATCAAAATGGACACATTCTCGGACCTCGCCCGAGTCACTCGGCGCAGTGAAGAATGGTAGAGGCCGACCATGGCGGCATGACTGGGCTGGTGCCGAGCTACATGTGGTACGGCCTCCCTGGCGCTTGGGGGAATTCCAGGGTTCGAGAGAACCCCGCTGAATATCACAGTGGGCATTTGAATCTGCTACACTTGACTTTTCGCAGAGCCGACCACTGCCATTATGCTATCCACGATTTCGCAACAACCTATTCTGCTCCTGCTGCCACCCTTGGTGATTTTGGCAGCCTGCCTGCTGAAGCTAGTCTCCTTGACATCGCGGTGGAAGGGCGCGCCGCCTGGTAAGTGGCATGAGGAGAATGTTGTTTGTCTGGGCGGCTTGGAATTTGCTCACGATGCTTTGGAGGCCCGCCCACGAGACCGTTCATTGGAAATCTTCATCAAATTCCTAAAAGGGATCTCCATCTGCAGTATCAGCGATGGGGTGAACAGTGTGGGTAGACGCCTAGACAGAATCGGCCGTTTACTCACTCGTTGACGTATCCAAGACGGCCCGATCTTCTCGTTGAAACTGGGTTCCCAGAGCGTTGTGGTCCTCACAAGTGGCGAACTCATCAAAAGAATCGTCGACAAGCGGAGTGGCAACTACGCCGATCGGCCCAAACTCTACATGCAAGACATCTGGGAGGGCTCGAGAATCATCATGAGAGGATACGATTCCTTGTGGAAGGTCGAACGCAAGCTGTACCATCAATTTCTGAACATCAACAAGGCAGCGCGTTATGTCCCATACCAAGACCTGGAAACAAAGCAAATGCTGGTCGACTTACTGTCGGAGCCCCTGGACTTTGAAAATCTTATCTCGCGTACGACATTGAGCATTGCGACGAGCATGGTGTATGGATTTCGCGTGCTCGATCCACGGAGCGAGGTTATGCAGGAGTTATTCACCAACACCCATGGCTTCTTCGTGATGGTGAACAGGAGCAAGCTTTTGGACTGGTATCCCCAGCTGAGACCCTTCGTGCAAGTCTTGCCCACATGGTTGTACCCGATGGCGAGAAGAGCTAAGCAGGTCTTCTACCGTGAGAGGGCCCAGTTCCGGCAGTTGTACGAGGCCGCAAAGCGTGCCGCCCAACTCGACAACTCTCTTCCCAGTAAGTCCAGCACCGAAGTTCCGAATATCATTCGTGGCCATCGCGCTGAGGCTCCCCTACAGGCTTTTCGGCCGACATCAGCCAGGCGAAAGAGTCCTGGAAAGGCACCGAGAACGGAGCTCTTCTCACGGACCATGCGGCTTCGTATATTTCGGGAATCGCGATGGAAGGCGGGGCAGACACCACAAGTAATACCCTTGCCGGCTTGATAAAGGTAAAGATTTTGTTGCATCCGAAACCGCCTGGAACCACTAGTTGACAAGGTACAAGGCCATGATGCTCTTCCCCTCCGTCCAAGAAGCTGCTCAGCACGAGTTGGATACTGTTGTTGGCCCTGACAGGCTGCCAACTATGGAAGATTTCGAATCTCTCCCTTACATTCGCCAAGTCACGAAAGAAACATTAAGATGTATGATGAGTGTCTACCGGCTTCATTGAGTACCCTTCTGTGACATTATGCGTTTCCTTTCTCCGCTGTTGTTGTACAATGCTCACCATAGGTACCTTACCCAGGGCTTCCGACTGCGATCAGCGGTGCTATTCCCCACGCAGCCCTCGAGAATGACGAAGTGGATGGCTATAAGATCCCAGCCGGCTCGACGGTCGTGTTGGCAGTGTGGTCTGCAAACAACGATCCCAGCCTGTTCCCGAACCCTCGCGAGTTCGACCCCACCAGGCACAGGGGAGACGTGTCTTTTCATGAGTCTGCCTCTGCACCCGACTATAGAGACCGTGACAACTGGACCTTCGGCGCAGGAAGGCGAATCTGTCCCGGTATCCATGTCGCAGAAAAGACATTGTTCTTGGCCACGGCTCGTCTGCTATGGGCGTTCAAAATCTCAAAGGCCACCGACGACCACGGCCGAGAAATCGAGGTTGACAGGGACGAGGTCACCCAGTCTATAGCCGCTCGTCCGGTGCCATTCCCGTACGTATATTCACATTTGACTCGTTGCACGCATTTACTGAGATTCTGATCGGATTGGTGTAGATGTCTCCTGACCCCTCGGAGCGACAAGTGCGCGGACATTGCTCGAGCCGAATGGGAAGAGTCGAAAAAGCTGCTGAATGAAGATGGGAACTACAAGCAGAGTGTACTTGACTGAAACATGTGATGAGAAAGGACCTGGTTCAATAAATGTCATCTATGGTACCTATGCTTACCGAGATAGCGTGTGTCAGGGCATGCTGTCCATGCAAAATGGACAAAGTAGATACCACGCCATATCATTACTTCCCATCAAAGTCCGGGCGAATGGCGTAGCTATAAAGCTATTCCAATAACGTGCCAAAACAATAGATGTCGCGACAGCTAATCGCCCTACGATTCTAGCCCAGTTTTAGGGCACCCCTGTAGCTGGCTTGATGTATATCAACTTGACTTCAGCGTCCTCGGGAACGGCGACCTGTATGGTAATGGCTACTGCTACACTCAAAGGGAACAAAACTCCTCGCTGATCGACCTATATCACATCTCTTCTCAGAGCCAGCCCTCCGTCACAGGGTATAACCGCGCCGTGAATGAAGCTCGCCATCTCACTGCACAGGAACATCAGGAGCCAGGCCACGTCCGCCGGCATCCCCAAGCGACGGACCGGCGTGATCGCGGCCAGCCGGGGAGGCGCGTCGGGCGGGCTCGTGAGCCGGAACAGCTCCGTGTCGATCATGCCGGGGCACACGACGTTGATGCGGACCCCCTGCGGGCCGTAGTCCTGCGCGTCGGCTTTGGCGAAGCCGATGATCGAGTGCTTCGACGCGCAGTACGCCGACATGCCGCTGGACGCGTTCAGGCCCGCGAGGGACGAGACGGAGACGATGCTGCCCCGCGTGCCGCTGCCTTCCAGGGGTGCCTGCTTGGTCATCTGGCGGATCTCGGCTTGGTGGCAGAGCCATGTCTTGGAGAAGGGGGGAGAATGAGTTAGAGAAGGAGTTGGAAGAGGACGAGAAAGTACGACCGATCGTGGCGAGGATTGTATCTGGTAGATATAGATCCTCCGGGAAGGAAATGGAAACACAAACTCACCCCGTATTCGTTGATGTGGACGACCCTGTCATAGGTCTCCACGTCGAGTTCCGCGATGCCTTTCCTCTGAGGCACCACGCCCGCGATATTCAGCGCGTAGTCCACCCTGCCAAACAGCGAGACACAGGAATCGACCATCTTCCTCACGGAGGCTTCGTCGGCAATGTCGGTGCGCTGGATTTCCACTCTGGCATCCGGGTTAGCCTGCTGAATCTGCCTCTTGGTCTCTTCGAGACCCTTGAGGTCAATATCCGCCAGGAAAAGAGACCGGCATCCCCCTTGAGCAATGGTCACGGCGCTCCCTCTGCCGATGCCTGAGAGGTATAGACTTAGCAGGCTTTAGAGTCTCTCTGGGCGTTCTCATGCGAAGCAACGTACCTGAGGCTGCACCGGTGATCAGGCAAACTCCGGGCAGAGTGAGTGACATTTTGACCCTTGTTCGCCGTCAGGTGCGGAGTTAGATAGTAGAAGCCTGTCTTTTCTTCGACGTCTCTGGCAAGTTCTCCTTTTGCACTTTCGCCTCGTCGAAGTTCTCCACGATCGCAATTAGAGGCGATCCCAATCGGAAAAAGGAAAGACACCGGGCAAACCTCCAATCGTGGCGGCCCCGAGCCCGGCCTGAGCCCGCCTCCTTGATTCGCAGCCGAGAACCCGACACCGAGGCCGTGCGACTTCCACACATATACGCGCCACAGGGTTCAGAGTCGACGACAACACCCCAAGAAGCCAGGATGAGCCTCGAGATCCCTGACCATTGAACGATATACCCTGTCCATCCACCTCGTCTCTTCTCCTTGATGTTACCGTTCTCGGGCGTTGCGGTGGTGATTGGGGCTGGTTCAGGTACTGTGGCTTTCTGGACAACACCATCAAGCGAAAGATCAACGAGCCGGTGCTGACAAGTGCAGGGGACGGTAGGGCAGTAGCTCACCTGCTCGTCAAGAGCGGCTGCACGAAGCTGGTCCTCGGAGATTTGGACGAGATTGGTCTTGCACAGGTGGTGAAGGAATGCCACGCCCTGGGACACTCTGATGTCGAAATCCTAAGCAGGAAATGCGACACGAGAGTTCCCGACGAGGTGGATGGATTGATCACATCCGCGGTCGGGAAATTTGGGAAAATCGACTACTGCGCCAACTGCGAAAGACCGGACGGGTTCGAGGGCAAGACGTTGGATGTTCCGCTGCCTACTTTCACGGCGGCCGGCGAACGCTGGCAGCGAGGGGTACGTGCCCCCCCCTCTGATCTCGATCTTACAGGATTGTTTCAATTCCTCCCAGCAGTCTAACTGGAGATCGACATGACAGGTCTGGCTGTCGATGCGAGCCGAGGTGCGTCAATTCCTGGCTCAAAAGGAAACCCAACAACGGGGCACCGCGAGTATCGTGAATGTCTCGGCCGCGCACGGGCTGGCTAGCGATCCGGGCTTTCCCAGCTACGGTGCTGCGGCGCACGGTATTGTGGGCATGACCAGGGCCACCGCGCTCGACTATCTGCAGGACGGGATTCGAATCAACTGCGTTTGTCCCGGGCCCTCTGCTCCGTCTACGGCAGGCGCCGAACAGGATGATAGCAGTGCTCGGCGACGTTCTCTGCCACTTTGCCCTCTTGGACGTGATATCACGGCAGAGGAAGTGGCCCAGGCGGTGGTCTTCCTGCTTGGGGAAGCAGCCAGTGGAATCACCGGGATCGAGTTGCCAGTGGATGGCGGCTGGAGTCTTAGACACCATTGAAACCCGTGAAGGAAGTTGATATACACAGGCATAGCCGAGTCTCGTTTTGGTGTTTTGGGACGTGAGTTTCTCTGGTACTTTCCAGCCATCTACGCCTTAATTATTACTATCAGGTTCATGTCCAGCAGGCGAGGAAAATCGACTTTAATCCAAGACGTAATGATAGAATTCTCTCACGCTCGAGACGGGACTAGGACTTGATGAATGATCGAGCGGGAGCCCGTGTTGCAATACAAGAATTCGATCTTCTAAGAAACTAGATACTCGCTTACAACCTCGTAGTTGACTGAGAAGTTTCCCGCTTGTAAAGATCTCGTAGGTGCCTCTTGAGGTACTTCCCACTGGCTGTCTTTGGCAGGGCTTGCACAAAGACGATGCCGCCTGCCAGTTGTTTATATTTGGCAAGGCGTTCTGCGATGTACTGTTTGACCTTTTCTTCATCCAATGCTTCGGCATCTTGTCCCGATTGTCGCACAATGTATGCTCGGGGAAGCTCTCCATCTACCGGATTTGGGGACGGTACTCCAATCACAGCGGCATCACATATCAACGGGTGTGACATCAGCACACCTTCGAGCTCGGGCGGTGCGACCTGAAAGCCTCGAACTTTGATCAACTCCTGTACTCGCCGTGGATGTTAGAAGCTAGTTAATACAAGGCTGGAACCCCAAAGGTTGTAATACCTTTTTCCTATCTACGATATACCACTTTTTCGTCGTCTCGTCACAATACGCCACGTCGCCAGTGTGGAACCAGTCGCCGGAGAAGGATAATGAATTTGCTTCGGGATTGTCAAGGTATCCTTTAATCACCGTTGGGCCACAGATCAATATTTCTCCCGCTTTGTTGTAAGCCCGAACCTCCTGTCCGTCATTATCCACGAGCCGGTTCGAGATGTCAGTTCAATGGATTTTACAGCCTTGGAGGCCGGATTCTGGACTCACTTAACCTCGAGGTTCGGCAGGAAGTAGCCTACACTTCCATCACTGTCGACCTCTGGCCATGGGTGATGAGCCCCAATGCAGCTGATCTCAGTCATTCCATAGCACGGGTTGATACAGCCTTCCGGGTGCATCAGAGCCGTAAATCTCTGTTGAGACAACAGGTCGATTTTGGCACCCCCTGTCATGCCCGACCGCAAGCTCCTCAGTGAGTATTTCCTGACCAATGGAGACTGCAGTATCGACACGATGATCGGTGGCACCACAAACAATTCTGTCACCTCGTATATCTCGGTGAAGCGAAGGAAATCCTCAAGCTGGAACCTTGGCATCACGTAGGCGATGTGGCCTGAGCGCAGCGGGGTGATGTGTCCGATTATAGCCATGGCCGCGTGGAAGAAGGGGAGACAGAGGATTCGCTTCACCTGGAGGCCGTTTAATGTGAGAGACTCAAGATCATGAGGAACTCACTGACTCTGTATGGCTTCTGCACTTGCTCTTGCAGGAGGGTATGCTGGGCGACGAGATTGTGGTGCGAGAGGCAGGCAGCTTTGGGGAGGCCCGTGGTGCCTGAGCTGAACAGGATACAGGCAGGAGTGGACTGTGCTACGGACTTGTCGTCAAATCGTACCCAGTCTTGCTCTCCATGTCGTAGCAAGGTTTGCCATGATGTCGAAGAAAAGTTCCCTTGTGACAGCGAGTCAAGTTTGAGCACGTTGGACTCGGTTATTCCGCAAGATCTGGCCGCCGACAGGATACCATCGTACAGGGACGGCTGTGCTATGATCAACCTCACCTTGGACGCCTTCAGATGATGTTGCAGTTCGTAGTCGGTGTAGCCAGGATTCGTCCCAGTCCATGTAAATCCTGCCCCGATGGCAGCCAGACAAATGCAGGAATAATACAGCTGTCCTTGGAGCTCAGCGGACGGTAACTTAGCAGAGAGTTGGTGGGCTTGGGGCTTTACATCATTGAAACTGTGCACACAAATGCAATCGCCCTTCTCCAGCGACCTTGAGCGGAGCCCGGCTATGAGGCGTCGTATCAAGCGCCTCGCCTGCCTCGAGCTGAGGGAACGATTTGGGTCTCCGGGATCAACGTAGATCTGGAAAATCGTGAGATCAAGCAGACTGGAGCTGAGTTCGACTCACCGGTTCATCTTGCGGGTATCTGGGTTCGTCGAAAATCCAGGACAGGAGGTCCTTGGTTGGAACGTGCACGGTTTTCCTAGGCTTGAAAAATGCTTCTTGGTCGGTTTCCATGTTTCTCAGGCTCTCCGAATGCAAAAGATTGGTCACCGAACGGTTAGACCTTAAGTCTGCTGCTTTGATTCTCTATTACTGAATTGAATGATATGAGATGTGTGTCTCTCCAGGACGTAGATCCACACGGCGAGCTGTCCGCCGAAG